TTAACGGGAAAAGCGCTGCACGTCGGCCCCAAACTTGGGGTCTCTGATGGTGAGTCCGGAGGTGTCTCTCCCCAAAAGTGTTGTCCCCTGCTTGCAGCCACAATCCGTTTGCTCCGGAGGAAAACTCGTAACGCTGATAAACCAGCCCCCCCCTCCACGTCCTTCGGGTGCTTGTTGTGCCCCGTGTTGCAGGAAACCATTTCCAAAAGCTTTGCCCTTTGTGGTCCTTTCCTTTGGAGCTTCAGAGCCTTTTGCATGCGTTCCTTAAGCTTTGTTGGAGGGGGATGGAAATACTGATTTTGTGTATTAATAGATGAGGGAAACTGAGGCTGGGATGTGTTGGGACTCGCCCAGCATCATCCCCAGGTCTGACACAGCCGGGGATAGCGGATGTGACCGACATATCCTTGTTCGAAAGCTGTAACTTACCTGAAATTTTTAATAAAGTGAACAGTTTGTTACATTTTGGTATCACCTCTTTTTCCGGAGACTTCACGCTTCGTGTAGCTGAGACCATCCCATCTCTAGACGTGGAAGGCAAATGGCCGCGTAGTCTGAAAAGGAGAAGGGGTGACGGCAAAGTTGCGTTTAGTTGCAGCTCCTTGAAGAGAAGATGGTGTAACTTGTAGCTGTGAAGTTTCTTGTTTTTCCTAAATCCTGTGCGAACGCATCGTTTTCCCCGTCGTCTCGAGATGTAAGCGCTGGCCCCGTTTAACTTTGCTTCTCTGGCGTGGATCAGCTGCAGTTTGCTTCAGACAGAGGCTCCTTTTTTCATTACACCCCCCCTTGGTGAATATAGATGGGTTTGCACTAAAAAAAAAAAGGCAAAAATCGAGCGAAAACGCTTTTGGTGAAGACAGCTTTGAACCGCTAAACTCATATTATCGTTATTTCCCCACGGGGCCGGTTCAAGGGTCGGGATGACCAAGATTTGCAGCTAAATGGTGCCTGAAGTTATATGCTTGAAGAATAATTTATCAGCAGCCGAGTCCACGTGGCGTGTTGCGCGGGGACGCCTCCTTACCTGACAGGGTCGGGACCTGGCACTTATTTCTACAATAGATGTATTTCTTTTTTTATTATTATTTATTATTATTAACTTATTCTTTTTCCCCCCCCTCCGCATGCTAAAGCCAAAATAATGGTGATTTACTGGTGGCAGAAATGCAGCTGGGCAGAGCGGAGCGTGGCAGCTGTCGAACAATGCCCAGCTCCTGCCCAAAGGGTCGGGGCCAGCAGACTGCTGGAACGGCGTCCGATTGAAATGGCAGATTAAGTTCCTGCGAACGCGCGGCGTCGCTTCCCTCTGCTGCCAAATTGGTTTAATGTGACAACTTGTTGGTGTGGGAAACACTTAGAACCGGGAGAGACGTAGCGAAAATAAATACCGT